TCATCCTTCCCATTTTGCAGATGAGGAATGAGGCTCAAGGAGGTAAAGTCGTTTGTGCAAAGTCACACAGCTGAAAAGGCAGGGCTGAATCTGGAGTCAGGCCCAACTCCAAAGGCTGTGCTTGTAGCTGCCACCGAAGCTTAGGGCTCACACTCGTCCACGGCAGGGCTGAGTTCTGGATGGGGCTTCTGTGAGGGTGGCACTGACTCTGGGGGCCCATCTCTGCACTCCAGGTCCCCAGCCCTGTTCCCAGCTTGGGTTAAGGCTTCCCATCAGCCCCAGAGCTCTCTGGGTGCCTTGTGAGGACCCCGGCCCTTGTCTGTCCTGATTCACAACACTGTGCGGTCCCACCACCACCATCAAGACCGCCTTCATCCTTGCTGCCCTTCCCCAGTCAGCCCTGCATTCCCATGACCCTCGTCCTTCCTCTTCTGTTGAAAGGAATTAAGATCCCCTCCAGAGCACATCGTAGTTCACATGGTGGGGTGAGGGTCCCCTAGCATTTGGGGTACAAAGGCAAAAAGCATAAAAGGCTCCTGCTGTTCGGGAGCCTCCTGTCAGGCAAGAAAACACGACTCACGTGTCACCCACCAAAACATGGTGGGGCAAAGAGACGGCACTGCTTCTTCATCCTGTGGGTATGCCTATTCTCCCCACTTCACAGATGAAGAAACTGAGGCTCCAGGAGTGGAAGTGAGTTGCCCAAGGTGACACAGCTAGGAAGTGACAGAGCTTGTTCCGAGCCCTGCACTCTGCCCTCTCCACGGCATCACCCCACTGGGTCAGCAGCCCAGCTACTACCCTGACCGAGGGCGGAGAGATGAGCATGTCCGAGGGGCGAACTGGTGACACCATCAGCAGGGAGGTGCCTCAGGGTGGAGAGAACCAGGCAAGGGCCAGAGGGAGGAAGGAGGCATCTGCAGGCCTCATGACCAGGAAAGGAGTCTGGGGAGGGCCAGGCCTTCCTCCTTCTGGGGGACCAGGTCGTCTGCAGAGGGAAGTGCTGGTGTCCAGAGCCCGCACGTGATGACCGGGGGAAGCCGCAGTCAGAGAAGTCAGGCACAGGCTCTGCAAGAACCCAGGACACCCCCACGCCAGCCCTCCACAGGGACCCACCGGAATCTGCATCTCCCATAGGAGGGAAAGGCCGTGTGTGGCAGTTGTTAAATAGTGTGCAGACCACCCTGGGCCCTTAGGGGCGTTGTGTTCATTCAATCGCTGATGCTTGTAGAGGGCCCAGCACCTAATGAACTCTCAATGCATAGCTGAAGAACAGCGTTGTGTCAACTTGGAGCCAGGTGACCGCTGGAGTGGACTTGGCTCTGCTGGCTGTCGGCGCTACAAAGAGGCGAGGAGCATCCTTTCCGGGCAGTGCCTGCTCTGACCACTCTCAAGGCCACCCCTCCACTTCTAGCAGCGGGAGGCGGGGGGCAAGGTTTGGGGGAGTTGAGGGTGGGGAGGCAGCCCCTTCTGGCGGCGGCTGATAACACGGCCGGCCGGAGGCTGGCGCGCTGCCCTCCACGGGGGGTGGAGAGACTTCAGTCACCGGGAGGAAAGCAGGCCTGCTGCGTGGGGTGGGGACCGGCGGGGACGAGGAGTGATTTCATGTGTCTTTCCCCCTCCCAAGAAATAAATAAAGCCGACTGTTGCAGCCCCACGGGCAGCCGCCGGCTCCCCAGCCCGGTGCAGGGAGGGCGGGCGCTGCGGCTCGGCTCCGAGACCCGAGGCTGCCAGCTATCAGCCTTCTCATCGCCTCTCCCAACTGGAAGAGAATTTAATCCACCGGGCTCCTCTCCACACACACTGGGACTTCTTTTGATGTTCCTTTTTATCTCCCTTCCCAACAAAATTGCCCCTCGACAGCTCCACGAGGGCCCCCTGCCTCTCCCCGCCCCCTCCCTCCCCCAGCCCCGAGAAGCAGCCCCCACAGGGCCTGGCAGTGAGCAAGGAAGGGCACGGCAGAGACCCAGTCAGGAATGGGGAGGGGCAGGGCCCATGCCCTCCACCTGCCCAGCTTCCCTCCCCTCCGCCTTGCTCCCTGACCTTGGGAGAGGTGCTTTCCTGGGGGATGGGCCTCTCCTGCCCTTTGGAGAATGGGGAGGGGTCCCCCAGGGCTCTCCTTGGCCAGTGCCTTGCACGCGTTGGGAGCAGTGTTCTGTAGTGGGAGGGGCAGAGGAGAGCGGGTAGTTAAGAGCTTAGACTCCACAGGAGTCAGAACAGACCTGAGTTCGACCCTCACTGGCAGCTGTGTGGCTTGCACAAGTTACTCCCTGGCCTCAGTTTCCTTCTCCATCAAGGGTGGACTGATGCTGATGTCATTGGGCTGCTTTGAGGATTCTGGTTAAGGTGTGTGAAGCACACAGTTGGGCCTTGATAAATGGAAGCTGTTACATAAGGCTCCCGGCTGAGGGCTGCGGTTAATAGGGGGTTTGCACCAACTTAGAATGAACTGGGTGAAACACACACACACATACACCCCGAGGGGCTGGCAGTCATAAGCCAAGTCTCAGCAGGAACTGGTGCTCTGGGCAGGTCCTGAAAAGGGCAGGCTGAGCACTTGACGGGACTTGGCCAGAAGGTGGCCCTGGGGTCTCAAGACAGCTGTACACGGGGTCCTGACAACTGCAGTGTCAGACCTGAGTAGACTTTCAGCCCCTGGCAGCAGATCAAGGAGAGGGGAGCAGACCTGTTTGCTGAAACCCAGAGACGTGGCCTGCAGGGGCCAGGAAGCCTAGTGCTCCTGCCTCACCAGTTCCTCCCCCTGAGTCTGCACTGAGCTCAAGCATGTCTTCAGTCCCTCGTGTGTCCTCAGCCCCAAGTCACGCTTCCTTGGTCTGGGGTGCGGCCTAGGCCTGGGGCTTTTAAGCTCCCAGGTGATTCTGATGTGGGGCCCAGTGGAGAACTACCACTCTGCCTCTCCCTGCTTGCCCCTTCTGGATCCCCGTGGATGCCGCCACGCGGCTCTCCCTGCCCAGCCGATGTCGTCCCAGCCCTGGCTGTGCCACGTGGTTCCCTAGGGAGCATTGAAGAGATGCAGCTGCCGGGGCCCCACCCCGGAGAGGGTCTGACAGTGGCCCTGGGCATCTGTATTTTTTTAGAGCTGCGCTGGCAATCCTGCTGTGCAGCCAGGTGAGGAGGGCTGCACCGGCCTAACTCCCACGCAGCTGCCAAGTTCACCTTCCTCTTTTGACCCCACTATTCCTCTGCTCCAGAGCTTAGCGTAGCTCCCCATTGCTCACAGAAACAATGCTGAAGCCCTCAAGCTGGTGCCTGCGGTGGGACTCGGGGAGGCAGCACAGCCTCCTGCTACCCCGACAGTCTCGCCAGCTTCCCTACATGGACCCTTTACAGATCAGCTCCCTTGTCTGCCTCGTCATTAATTATTCATTCCCCACTCTGTGCCTTTGCTTAGGCCAGTGGTTCTCAGACCAGCAGCGCAGGAGCGTCACCTGGAACTTTTAGAAATGCAGCTTTGCAGGCCCCATCCCAGACCTACTGAATCAGATATTCCTGCGGAGGGCAGCAGTCTGTGGTTTAACGAAGCCCCCAGGTGATTCTGATACACGCTAAGGACGAGAATTCCAAGTTTAAAACCATTTCCTCCACCTGAAATCCCATCTCTGCTAGTCCATTGTTCCTCCCTTGATTCCTAACGCCAGTTCAGAACTCCCCTTCTCGGGGCAGCTTCCCCTGCGTGGCCTCCCCTGCTGGTGTTCTCTTAGGTCCCGGCCTGGCGTGCTCCGTGTTACCATCTTAGTTTCCTCTTGTAACTCACATTGCACTGGAACTCCATCAGGGGACGCCCCCATCAGGCCCTGACTCCACTTCCCTCGGCCTGGAAGACACCTGGGCCTGGTCTCTTATCCTCACTCTGCTGCCAACAACGTGTGCAACCTTGCAGCTTGCTCAACCTCTCTGAACTCCATTTCCTCCAGAGGGGTTTCCAAGCTCCAGTGCTCCTTCCTCTCCGTCACGTGGTCTGTGGGAGGAGGATCACACAGAGTAATGGGTGAGGAAAAGCTGCAGAAGCCCCATCACTTCCTGAGCACCTACTGTATACCTGCTCTGACTTAGGTTTACACTGCCCGAGGCCTGGTCTGTGGCCTCAAGGAGCCCCCGACATTTCACAATAACCACAGAGGGTTATTCTGAACAGCGTCTGGCAAAGAGATGTCCAGTAAATGTGTGCTGGGTTGTTATTGTTGTTAATGTCATCATCTCTTTGTACAGTTATTACAAAGAACAATCTCCAAGACATAGTTTTAAGTGAAGAAGTCCAACACAGAGCAATGTGTACAAGTGCTACTGTTTGTGTCAGAGAGGGGAGGCATGGATTTCCAGGGAAAAGAGACCCAAGGATGGGTATGGTGGTTGCCTCTGGGGAAGCCTCTTGAGTGGCTGGGCAAACGGGGAGAGGGAGATGATCGTGTGCCCTTCTGAACTATGTGAAAACTTTCCTTGTCTGTGTTTATCATGTCTTTAACATTTTCTAGGTTAGGAAAAGTAAAACATGGCAATGCTTGGGGGCATTTCCTGCAGGGGTTTTGTCCAGGCTCCTGGGAGTAAGACAGAGGGACACGGCCCCTCCTCTCCCAGCCTTGCACCACCCGCCAACCCCCCCCACCCCGCCCCGGGTGAGGACGGAGTGAGCTCAGGGAGACAGGCGCCCTGGGCCCCTCCTCAGCCTTGGTGCCCTTGTGTCTCTTCCTGTGTGTCCCTCCCTCTTCTGGGTGTGGGGCTGCACAGACCTCCCCACTCCTAGCACCTGTGTGCACACCCCACACACACCCCTTCTTGGCACCCCCGAGGCTGTGGGCCATCAGATGCTGAGGGGGCTGTTCCTCTGGAGCAGGGTATGCTCCTGGGGTCCATCTCGGCCCCTCTCCCTTACCCTGACCTCGGTTCTCACCATCTTCTCTCTCTGGTTCCTTCCTCCTCTCCATCCTTTCCGGCTCCTTCTCTGTCTCCGTACCCTTTGACTGACCGACTCCCACTGATAGCACTTGGTGAGTAAGCCTGGGAAGGGCGGGGGCTGGGGAGGCGTGGGGGGCACCGTGGGGAGGGGGCTTCCCAGGGGGTGTTGCTCTACTTGCCCCAGGCCCAACTCAGCCTGCCCTAACCTCTCGGGCCCCCGGGTCCTGTGGTGGAGGGGCCAAGCTCTAAGGGAGGGAGAGGTGTCGGTGTCAGCTGCTCAGAGCTGTCACACTCTGCCGGCTTTGGCTATTAGTGCCCCTTCGGGCATTTAATTGGTCCCCTCCATCTGACGGATGGATTCCACGCCAGGGAGAACTGGCAACTCCACAGCCCGACAGGGCCGGAGGAGCATGGCCTGCATGGTCTGCGGGAGCCCCTACAAGCTGGGGGCTCCAGGGGCCCCGCTGTTTGCCTGGACTCCAAGATTGGCATTGCTCTTGTTTTGCCAATTCGTAGTTGTGAATAGAAAAAACTCAAGAAACTGATGGGTAAATATGAACGTGCATTCATTCCACAAATGTATTTGAGCACCTGTGGGACAGCTAAGAACCTGTGAACTCTCAGGCTTCCCTGAGGCTGTCATCTCCAGCCTTGCCCGGACCATCCCCCTCTGACCATGTAAAGGCTTCCAGGCGGCCTGGCTGCCCCCCTCTTAGCAGGAACAGGTTCTGGAAGGGAACCCCTAACATCCCTGGGCAACCAAGGAGAGAGGATGGCTTCCCTTAGCCCCCGATTCCACAGAAACATGAACCGGGGGCTGTGCTGGGTGCTGGGCCGGGGTGGGTAATGGAAGACGAGCAGGAGGATATGTCCTGGCTCTGAGAATCTGCAATAAGGGTCAACAAACCACAGGCCTCCCACCAGGTTGGAGGGGGCTTCTTTAGGTAATTTCCCCCCATGCAGGAGGTTGAGTCACTTTCTGAGCAGGCCAGACTCTGGGGGGTCAGTAAGCCATGTCCCCCACCTTCAGCAGTGGCTCCTCCTCCTGACCTGGGGACTTGGGTGGCATGGAGACATCAACCGCTTTGCGTGAGGATGAGCCAGGTGGTATCTGAGGGCTCTGTGAGCTCTAGTCCTGGTTAGAAGGATCAGAAACACCTGACCAGAGTGAGGCAGCATCCTCCCCCCACCTGAAGCCATGGACTTGGGCTGCGGGGCCACAGAACCCATGAAGGGCGTGGCGGCCCTGGGCTATCTGGGATCCAGTGTCCTCCAGGCCACCGTGGGCTGGCCACAGCGTGGGGGTCCACTTGGCCGCTCGGCCATCTGCGTTACTCCCATTCCACGTGTGAGCAAGCCTGTGTTCTCCCTGACTGACACGGTCCGGAGGGAGGAAGGGGGAGATGCAGTGTCCTGCTCTCTCCCTCACGCCCTCCCCTGTCCAGGCCTCCTGTGGACACTTATTTCTCTCCCCTCCATTCACTTCTGACCCTCTCTCCTCTGTCTCCCTGCTGGGTCTTGTGGCTGGCAGATCCCTCCCTAGTTGGGGTCACTGGGGCAGAGGAAAGGAGCAGGAGATGGAAAATGAACCAAGCCACCTGGAAGGGACATTGTGGGCGTCTGAAGGGATGACAAAGACAAAAAGAACCTGAGGAGACTTTCAGAGGGCCTGGGCAGGGTCTGGGAGCCGGGCCAGTATCACTCAGGGGAGGCCAGACCACTGTGGGGTGGGGCCAGGCAAGCCCTGCCGGCCCCTGCTCCTCCCCCACCTCCCCCGCGCCTGCTCTGCCCCTCCAGCCGCGCTCTGGGCCTTGGCCTCCTGTGCCCTTTCTGACTGGTGTCTTCTCCATTTTTGACCAGGGCCTGAACAGCATGTTCGAGGTGTACCTGGTGGGGAACAACTCCCACCACTTCATCATCTCTCCCACCTCTGTCCAAGGGAAGGCGGACATTCGCATCCGGGTGGCCATCCCCCTGGACTATGAGACTGTGGACCGCTACGACTTCGACGTAAGTCCCCGCTCACCATCTCCTTGGCTGGGTGGGGGATTTCAGGGGAAGCAGGGGGGTGACATGGTCCCCTTAAATCCCCCCTTCCACCTCTCCCCATTCTTCCCTTGTGGATCTGACTCACAGAAGCCCACTGAGCCACGGCAGGGGCTGGGCTGAGCCGCCTGTTTTCATGGAGGACAAGGAAATGTCCAGGAATTGAGTGGAATTTTACTAGGCACCATCACAGCCTCAAACCGATCAGGAGCCTGTGCTCCCCAGCCCCTGCCAGCCCAGCCCCCATCAGCACCTTCCTCCCTAGCAGCATTAGTGGCCACCCTAGCCCTATGAGCACTGATGGAGGGACTCACGGTAGCACATACCTGGGACAGGCAGTGACTCGGACAGGTGCTCTGGGTTGGGACTTACAGGGACAAGGGCTCGGGAGCATGTGAGAGCTCACCTGGGCTCTTGCTCTGCACACCCAGCTCTTTGCCAATGAGAGTGTGCCCGACCACGTGGGCTATGCCAAGGTGAAGATCACCCTCATCAACGAGAACGACAACCGGCCCATCTTCAGCCAGCCACTGTACAATGTCAGCTTGTACGAGAACGTCACTGTGGGGACCTCTGTGCTGACAGTCCTGGTGAGTACCCGCCCTCCTGCAGGGCCGCTGAGCTCTGGGGCAGACCATGTGGAGGCAACCAGAGGGATTTTGCCCAAGGCGTCTGGGCAGTCAGGGAAGGGGGTGCCCCCAGCCCCAGAAGCTGTGTAACTTAAAGCATCTGGACTCTTCATGATGGGGCTCCCTTGGCCAGAGCAGCCATGTGGAAAAGGGACCAACCAGGGGAAGGATGAGATTGGGTTAAGGATACTTTGGTTTTCTGCCTTGTCCCTGAGAGGGACTGAGCCTGGGTGAGCCAGGAGCCCTAGAAGTGCCCTCTAATGGGGACAGGCACCAGCCATCTCTGAGGAGGGCGACCCTCCCTATCTGACCACAGGCACCAGGGAAGAATGGGCTCCTGAAGGGGGTCTAGGCATCCCCCGCTGCTCTTGGCCGGGACTTTGACAAGGGGCCTCTCCCTGTGTCCATTTGTATCAGTCAGTACTCTCGGTTGCAAAGGACAGAAACCCTTCAGTGGTTCAAGCAAAAAAGGATTAGCTCACGTAACTCAAAAGTGTAAGTGATTTCAGGCACGGCTGTATCCAGGCACTCAATTGAGCAGGAATCTGACTTCAGCTCTGGTCTCAGCTTTTTTGTATTGGCAGAGAGGGAAACCAGCACGCCTAGGCTCACTTCTTACCAAGTTATCAACCTTAGTGGGAAAAAAATAATCTTTTTCAGTAGTTCCAGCAAAAATCCCAGTGCTGATTCTCATTGGCCTAGCTTGTTGGGCCCCCCTGGAACCAATAATCATCATTCTGATATACCAGAGATGGGTCATACTCCTCCTAGTGGAGCCAGGGGTTGGGTCAGCCCCATCCCAGTTGTATGGGCTGAAATGGGAAAGGGAATATTCCAAAGGGGCTTCTGCTATCAGAAGCAAGAGGGTCGGTTGCTGAGCAGATCAGAGTGGTAGATGTGTGCTGCGCAGGCTCAGGCTCTTGCACACAGTAGGCCCTCAGTAAACATTATGGAGTTTGACTGACTGCTGCCCACTCCGAGGCCCCCAGAGTCCTCGCTCCCGTTTCTTGCTCCATCCTCACTCCAAGCAGAGACGTTGCCTGCTGATCCCAGGCCCCCTGCTCCAAAGTGTGTTTACTCTACAGACAGATGGTATGCAACTGTACTGAGCCCCCAGGCCCTTCCCATCTGACAGTTAGTAATATTTCAAACAGATGTTCAGCTAGGCAGGCCGTCAGGCGTACACAGTAAGTCTGCCGCGGCTGTTTTCTCCCCCACTTCCCCAGCCCGTGGCTCCGCTGGCTTTCAACAAGGTGACTGCTGTCAGTCACCTGGTGCTTGAGGCCCCTCGGACCCTCCTGCAGCTTCGAGGGCCCAACCGGAGAGCAAGTGCCACAGGCCTGGCCTCCTGGACCCAGAGAGCATCTTCAGCCCCCCAGTCACCTTCGAATGTCCGGGTGAAGGACACCCAAGCAGCCTGAGCTTCAGGGGCCTCACAGTGGGAGGAGGCCCCACCCCCCCCATGTGGGACCACGTGGCAGAGAATTCGAGGGTCAGGTCCAGGCTTGGCAGGTGTCCGGGGACTCCTTCCTGGCGTTCTTACTGGGGATGGGGCAGCTCAATCTGCAGTCCCTGTTCCCATGGCCCTGGGGAAGGGCGGGGGGCACCGAGGGAGCGGGTGTGGGGTGGAAAGTGTGGGAAGCACACCTCTTAGCTGGTGGCCAGCTGCTGGTGCCATGGACGGTGTGACAGGCCCAGTCCCATCTGAGGCTGGCACTGGCGAGTAGGTCCTCAAACTGGGTTTTCTCAGGCACTGGAGCAGTTCATGGGCCTGTGTGGACCCCCTGCCCGGTGCCCACGACCGCCTCTCCAGTCCCTCTCCCAGGCCCGCTTTGGATGATTATCAGATGCGCTCAGCCTCCTCTGTGGCCGCCTGAGGGTCTCTGCCCAGGGCTGGCTCATCTGGCCAGCCGCCAGTTCCTGAGTCTGTCTGTCTGAGCTCACCCACGTCCTTCTCAACCCTCCAGCCCTAGGGTTTGTGGAATTGTGCAGATATGAGGGGGCTTTTTCACCCACTGATAAGCTCTAGCTGCGGTGCTGGGTGCCTGAAGCAGCTCAGGGTCTAGAGTCAAACTGGGTGGGCCCTGGTCCCCTGCCTTTGCTGTGTGCTGGTCTGTCCACATGACCTCTAGTAGACTTCATTTCCACATCTGCAAAATGGGCATGAGGCCTCCCAAGGCTGCTGTCTGGAGGTGTGAAAGCATCCCCTGGGGCACCCCCACCCACCGTCATCTCCCAGTCTCCCCAAGGTGCTTCCAGAGTTCCTAGCAAGTTTTGTGGCCACACCTACCACCCTGCCCTGGCCTCCCCCACCCTGCCTCCTCCCCAGGGTCAGCCTGATCTCTCCGCCTCCTGTGCTGCGGGAGGGGCTAGAGTTATAGTCGCCTGCTCAGGGACTGTGAAATTCCTTCTCCCTGACCTTTTCTGGGATGTTATTAAAATGTTTCATGGGCAGTTGTGTCAGAAAAAAAAATTAGGAAGAAAAAGAAAATGTTTTAATTTGCACCAAAGTCTGGGGCTGAACCTGCTGCGAGGGCCTCCCCAACCCCCACCCTGGCATGACCCTGCGTCTGTGCTCATCACCTGTCCTGGGGGAAGGCGGCAGTTTAGCAGTGGGGCGGGGAAGCTGGAATAGGAGGGACTGTCACCTCCAGCCTGGGTGTCCAGCTGGGGTGGAAGGGGCTGGACCCTCTCACCTCCCTGCTCCTTGGACTTCCCCCAACCCAGCCCCCAGTTATAGCAAAATGAGTTTCCACTGGTGGAGGGGAAAGAGGGGACCTAGAGTTTAAAGGCTTGACCCCCGTACCGACTCCTTGGATGACTTGGGCAGAAGCTGCTTCCCTTCTCAGGACCTGTAAAATGAACAAGACGGCTTAAAATGTGTCTGTGGTCCTCTCCAGACCCAGTGCCTGGAGAAGTCATGCCCAGAGGCAGAGGGATGGCTGAGATGACCTCTGAGGACTGCTACTAGATGACTGCTGCTACTATAACAATCTGTAACAGCTGTCATTACTGAGTCCTGGCTGTAAACCCTGCACTTGACGTGCATTATTTCTAACCTAAGTAGAAGCTGTCATTCTCACTTTACAGACAGGGAAACTGAGGTTTAAGGAGGTTAACTAACTTGCTGAGGGTCCCAGAGCTAGTACGTGATTGAACTGGAATTCACAAAAAGACCGCCTGACCGCAAGCCACAGGCTCTTAATCACCAGGCTGCCCATCGAGAAGGCTGTGTGGTGGACCGTTGAGCCTGTCCTCTCAGTAGTGTTCAGAGCTGAGGAGCTGGACAGTGCTCTCTGCAGGCCCCAGCTAGACAGGCCCCAGGGTCTCTCCAGGCATTGTGTCCCTGGTGACACCCTGGACCCTCAAAAACCTCTGGCACCATTGGGTGAATTTCCAGCTCTCTAGGTCCCAAGCCCCTCAGGTCAGAGCTGGGAGTTGCTCTTCACTGGTGAGAAGACCAGGTCAGGGAGACATGAGCACTTTGCCCGGGCTGCAGGAATCCCAGGGCAGCCCAGAGCGGCCTTTGTTAGGAAAGGCTTCCTGGAAGAAGGAAGGGTGCAGGACGAATGTCAGTGGGAGCCCGTCCTCTGACGGGTGACCACAGAGGGGAGGGATGTGCAGGGGCACAGGCACCCACGTGTGGGTGTGGGCGTGAGGTATGCTTGTGGGGTGCAACTACATGCACTCAAGGGTATGTGTATGTAATACACATTTGTGTGCGTGTGTGTGTGTTCAGGTTCCTGGATGATGTTGTGCTCCCCATCCTCCAGGCTGTGTGGTTTTTTCCCCTCTCATATCCCCAAGCTTCTCTGATTCTTGCCTTCAAATCCTGCCTCCTCACCTGACAATAGGAGTCAGGTGGGAAGGCCGCGGGGGTGTCTTCCTGGGATTCTGCTGGGCTTGGGGCAGCCCTGCAGCCTGACCAATTGGTACCTGGGACCTCGTGGGGTTTGTGGGTGCCACTAGACAGTAGGAGAGCAATCCAACCATTCATTCATTCAATAAATGTTTTCTGAATACGTACTATGTGCCAGGTACATGGCCCTGAGGACACAATGGTGATGTGAATCTTACCCTCATGAAGTTTACCATCTCCTGAGAAAAGCTGATGTTAATACTAAGAAATGAATCTTTACGTTAAGCATTACTTGCTATGATGGAGAGATCAGGGAGCTATGAAAACCTATCACAGGGCACCTGACCTTGACTGCAGTCAAGGAAGGCTTCCTTGAGGAAGTGGCAATTAAGTAGGCATTAATAGGTGAGTTAGGGGAGGGAAGCACATTGGAGAAAGAGGGAATAGAATGTGCAAAGGCCCTGTGGCTGGAATGCAGTGAGGGGTATTTGCTGTGCCTGGAGGTGGAGTCCTGCTCCTATGAGGCAGGCGGGGCTCAGCTGTCTCTCTTCCTCCCGAATTGCCACCCACCCCAAACATAGCCTTTGGACTGCTGTTCTGAGAGTGGAGAAGTCTTGTATCAAACCATCCATATTCTCTTCCCTATTCCATCCTGGCAGACATTTGGGAAGCAGCAGGCAGAGGCTGTACCTTGGACGTGCAAGGAGCCAGCCTGGCCTCCTGCAGTATGGAGCTCATGCCCCCAGATGTATTAGCTCTGTGTCCCCGGGGCCGTGAGAGCGGGATGCTGAGGAGGAGCAGCAGCTGGGAGGGAGGTTACTGCGGAGGCAGGTCTTGCTGCTCTCCAAGGCCTTCTCTCTCCACTCCAGGGGGGTGGCTCACAGCAGGGACAGGCAGAAGATGAACTGTCAGACAACAGGATTCCTCTCCAGGCAGAGAAATCAAAGCAAGAAGGCAAGGCACCTAAGAGCCCTGATTGGGCAGGTGTGGGGCCCCAGGACCACTCTCAGTTTGCTCAGCCCAGGGCTAGAGTGCCACCCCCCAGCTCCGGGCAGACAGAGTGGCCTTGTGAGGGCTGAAACGCACATCCCCTCTCTCCCCT